TGAAAAATCTTTTACTTTGAAGCTTTGGTGGAAGTGGAAAAATAAGAACTCTCTTTGGTGTGATTTTTTAAATGCCAAATATCCTAGGGGGGATAATATGGTTCCAAAGGTGACATATTCAACCATTTGGAGAAGAGTATGTGGAATTCATGAAGCTGCTACTTATCTGTCTACTATGGGTCCTTCAGGTCTACTCAGGAATCCTGATACCAATGGAATGTTCTCCATAACATCTGCTTATATAATGAGATAAGGGAGAAAAAAATCAATTACATTCACCCGTACTTTTTCACATAGTTGGAACAAATACCAGCATACGCAAGTCAAAGTGTTTTTATGGAAGCTTCTTAATAATTATCTTCCTATCACTGATAATTTACACAGGTTCCAATTTGTTCTTAATCCTTCAAGATGTCCCTTGTGTCACAACCACACCGAATCTACTGATCATATTTTCTGTGGTTGCTCTTTCACAAGGAAAATCTAGGAATATTTCATGTATATCTTTAACATATCAGTTCCAAGAGTTAGTTCTATAAGACATATCCTAGTTCTTTGGTGGATTGAGGCTGGATCTAAAACCTTGGCTGATATTTTTAAACATAAAATTCCTGGCATAATTTGTTGGCATATATGGAAAGGCTTATACTACTTCAATCTGGGGCTCGGGCAACACTCCTACTACAAAACATCTCATTTATCGGATCAAGTTATATACGCAGAATTGGGCTTATAGACTGATGAAGATCAAACAACGGCGTATTGAGGACTTTCTCTACCAAGAACAGTTGATATTAGTTAATTTTAAATTTAAAACTTCAGGTTGGAAGATGATTAAATGGAGAAGGTCTGCGACTAACTACAAGATAAATGTGGATGCCTCTTTTGTACCTGGATCGGCGATAGGTGGTGCCATACTTAGAAATCAGGATGGAGTTTTCCTCTGGGCGACTTGCTTCAGGATTCAGGCGGACACGAGCTTGGAAGTTGAAATCCATGCTCTGGTTCAAGCTTCGGATATGGCGATGGAGAGGGGGGTTTGTTGGATTTCAGGTGGAAACAGACGCTACCAGTGCGATTAATCTTCTTCAGGCGAAGGATTTAGGAAAGTTCATAGGGCTTCAGACATTTCGCAGGAGGGCAGAAGACAACAGGCTGACTTTTATTCATGTTTTAAGAGAAGGTAATGGGCCGGCCCATCACCTAGCAGCCCAGAACCTTATAACGGCCAGCTCTATAATTTTTGACCGGATCCAAGATTTGCCCGTTAATGTTAAATCTAGTTATTATGCGGATCTCCTTGGGATTCTGAACTTTCGCTTTTAATTTTTGCTTGTTTCTTTCCGTGTATTTTCACATTTGGGTTTGGTTTAGCCCCACAAATTGGATTCGAAATGGCGGGTCAACTGAGAGTTGACCGGTTGCCCAGGGGGGCAACCGACGCCGGTCATGTGTAGAAACGACGCCGGTTTGAGCACGGTTTAGCCGGGTTCATAAAACTTAATTATGAATCGGCGCCGGTCAGGTTTGAATCGGCCCTGGTTTGGTCTTGTTTTGCCTATATGTTGACTTTATTAATGCATGAATTGCATGAATGATTTTGCTTAGGCCTTAAGACTTGGTCTAGTCTTGATTAATGATTATGATATGGACTCTATCTAGTATGATATGTGGTTGATCATAGGTCGGGTGGAGTACCCAGGGATCGGGCGTGTATCCTCAAAATTCAGTTAAGTCGGGTGGAGTACCCAGGGATCAGGCGTGTATCCTCAAAACTCAGTTATGTATGGTGGAATACCCAAGGATCGGGCGTGTATCCTCAAAACTCGATTGTGTAGGGTGGAGTACCCAAGGATCGGGTGTGTATCCTCAAAACTTGGTTATAACAGGTGGAGTACCCAAGGATCAGGCGTGTATCCTCAAAACTCATAGATTACAGTTTAGTAAATAAGGACAGGGCGGCGTCCTTGTGATATTTGATTTGGACCAGGGGTCCTATACACTCATAGGTATATGGGTGGGTTGGGATTTTAAGTCAAGGACATTGACTACTACTATTTTTCCCAAATAAACAATGACCTACGGGTCGGGTATTTCCAAGTGTGTATAAGTACCGATATGTATTTTATAACTTGGGGTAAAGGAGTATAAGTATATGTATCACCCTATGTTTGGGTGTTATACTTGAAACATTAGTTATTCTACATTTAGCTTGCTACTCGCTCAGTATTCGCGTACTGACCCCTTCGGGGGCCCCACCATTTCAGGTTGAAGCTAGAACTTGTTTTCTACACCTTTGCACGGGTGAAAAGAATCTAGAGGAAGACGTGGTTCGTGTTTCCTTTACTATTTCAAATTATAAACTATGCTCATGGATATTTTTGTAATGAATACTTTGTTTTGGTCCTACGAGCCTACAATTTGCCATATGTGGCCCATGATTGGGACTTTTGAATATTTCCGCTATTCATTCAATCTATGATGTGATGTTATGTATGTTTGCTTACTGAGTATGGTATGAACGATGTTCATGAACGCCTTGTGTGATTAAGTGAGGTTGACTTGCGAGTGACGTCACTTGATCACACGACGGTTGTACACGCGCTTAGATGCGGTCTGGGCCGTGACATAGTGCACACCCCTATTGGCGGCTATGGGGTTGATGAATTGTAGTGTTCAGTGGAGAAGAAATAAGAGTTGTCGCTAGTTTAGGTTTGCGCAGAGGGACGGTAACATGATAATTGACGGGGGAGGAAAGCTATTAACTTACGTCTGACGTAAGCGAGCGTCCAAATATAATACGAAAACCCAAAGTTTGTACTAATTTGGTCCACTTAAAAGTTTAGTGCCCAATATGAGTTTTTCAAATAACTTTAATGTCAATTTTGAGCCTTCTCCCAAATTTAATTTCGCATTGACATGCTTACTAGCAGTTCCAAAAGTTTTCTAAAAGATGACATTGTCACATGGATGAGAATGAGTCAGGTCGGGTGTATCATTGTTTTTATCATGATTAAATGGCACCGATATAACTCCTCAACTTCTCTTGGACAAAAATATCACCATTTTTTGAAATGCCATAAAAGTGATCTGGTCTCTTCTCTTCCGTCTTGCGGCACAGACCAACTACAAGGGAGATAAAATCCATCGCGTGTCTCTCTTGCCTCCTCTCCGCTCAACTCCAGAATTTCAGAAGCTCCCTACAGGCCATATCCACAAGCCATGCATATCCGTCTGTCTGCTCCCTTCCGATCCATGGCCGGCAGCGCCCCAGTTTTCGTTCTCACCACCGCTCGATGAAGACCAGCCAGGAGCGGCTGCCCTCTACCACTCGTCTGCCACTCGAACGACGCCGGAAACCTCCACTTCGGCGAGATCGGCCGACAACGAAGGTAGACACAAGTGGTTTGCCACTTCGGCGAGCTCGACCGACAATGACGCCAAACACAGCGCCGGCTCCGCCGCCGCTCCCCTGCATGTTGTTGCAAATCCTACGCACCCGGCTGTCGCCTTTGCAACTGACCGCCTCCGCCGCTGTTGCAATTCATATAGTGTGCTTCTTCTATTTGTTGTTTGTCTAGAGCATAGCAACTGCTTTCGATTAATTTCTTCAATTGAGATTTGAATTAGGAGAACGGGCTTAAGGTTTGGTTTTTGTTAATTGGCCGGGCCCGTCGCCACAGTGACACGGGCGGTGGCCACGGTGACACGGGCGGTGGCCACAGTGACACGGGCGGTGGCCACAGTGACACGGGCGGTGGCCACAGTGACACGGGCGGTGCCTACAGTGACATTCGATAGTGACATTAAATTTGATCAGTGAAATTAAAATGCGGTAATGACATGAATATGACTACTTTAGTCACATTTTTGTCCAAATGTAAAAGTGGTCACATTTTAGGAAATCACACTTAATTTAGTAATATTGAAGGAATAACCCCTTTATTAATTCATTCTAGTTTGTTCATATCATTACTTTTAACCGAAAATAGATTATTCAATACCAGCTTAAGCGATGACACCTATGGAAATACAAGTCTAGTTTTGAGCCCATTAAGACATTATCGAGGTTGATTCCGGCGCCTAAACTTAATTAAACAATGCAACAATAAGATTTCTTTTACAACAATAAGAGCCCATTAAGACAATTCTAGACAAGAATATTTGGTTTTGTTTCAGAAAGTCATAATTTGGAATAGAAATGAATCATCTGTTGCGCTGTTTCTGATTTCGCATTAAAATTTTCGTTATTTATCATTGTATAAAATGATCAGGATTTCAATTCTGAACTAGGATCATGTTGAATGCTATTGTGTCACAAAAATTGTTGATACTATAAGAATGAGCGTTTGGTTACTTGGTTATGAACTTGTCAGGGCAAATGAAAGGTTGCTAATCATGATAACTCAATTAAATAGAAAGACTATACTCACTTCACATATGAAGCCCCTCACTTTGAAAGGTTACACACTCCTAAATTGCTATTAGGGGCGTAGTTAGGGGGTGGTCAGCCTATGCCCTGACCCATCTCAAATTTAATAAGTGTGTATTTTTAGTGTAAGAAATTTTGTGTATTTTTTTTCAAAAATGTCTTTTTGTGACGACCCAATCTGGTGCAGTACCCTGGCTCCGCCCCTGATCGCAGCTGACATGGTTCTATCTTAGATCATTATTTGAAATTTTCACCTTGTGAACAACTCAGCTGCCCATATGGGACTTGTTTATGATGCATGATGTGCCCATATGGTACTATACTAGTCAATAGGGCTCCATAGAATTTATGTACGATCAATCTATGTAGGGTGAAAGGTGTGAGGCGGATAATATAAAGAGGAAATGAAGGGCTTCCTTACCAAATTATTCGGATGGTTTAAGAGAGGATAAAGAAGTACTGTACAATTTCGGGTACACAAACGTAAATACGGATTAGTCCGTATATATCTGTGTATACGGAGTATTTCTTCCATGGACTCTTCTACGCGCGCTACCGAACAGTATATAACCAAAATAACCGCCCCCGTCTTCTCAAAGCTTTCCCATCAATCATAGAACATCTCCTACGATTTATCCCCGGATCAGAACTCAGAAGAACCAGCTTCTTCCTCCTCCGTCTGAAACAGACATCCTATATCTCAAAGATATTGAACGTATGCAAACGGAATATGTAAGGAGGAGACGAGAGTTCGTTTCAAGGTAGGGCCGCCATAGCTAGAATTGGTACTATCTTCTTCTTATTGTTATTATCATTCAATGATTTCCGCTTTTGAAAGCTGTTCAGAGAATTTGGCCGGGTCGGGCCAGGTCGGGCAGGCACATAAGTCGGTTCCCTGAAAGCATTCCTGTACTAGATATGATATTATGCTTAGAAGTTGGAACCTCATATTCTGTTATTTGATGCCTTTTCAGCTGATTGGTTGAAGATAGACAAGTGTAGGGGGAAACCGTCGAAGTTGATAGGGAAGCCTTTGATTTCCTCTTCCTATTTAGTTTTTGTTTTTTTATAATTAGGTTTGATATTGTAATATCTGGAATAGCCAAATAGGTAAACGAATATTCACACACACACACCCTCAGATATATGATGCCATTGAACATTGATCCGAATTCATTACCGAATGATTTACGGCCATTGAACATTGGCAGGACGGTTCCAGAAGATCCCCGCATATCTCCGGCGACCTCTTCTGGACGGCCAATTGATGGGTTCTTCCCAGCTCCTCAGCCACGTGATGGCAGTAGTCCTGGTGGGACCATACCTGTGGTGTATTATCCTGCAAGTACGCCCCGGGATGCGGGTCTCGTGGGGCTAGGGTATAGCAACCCCCCTCCTGCTGTGGCCAGGTGGGTCCAACAGGTCGTTCCCCCAACACAATCAGCAGTTGTAGCCACCACCATCACCAGTCCCGGATGCAATCACAATTGCCCGGTTTTTGGCAGGCAGAGTATGAGCACTGCATCCGATGAAGGTTGCGTCGGGGATGAATGGGCATCGGGGAGGAAATTGAAGTTTATGTGCAGTTTTGGTGGCAAAATATTGCCAAGGCCGAGTGATGGAGCATTGAGATATGTAGGAGGACAAACCAGGATAGTCAGCCTTAGAAGGGACGTGACTTTCACAGAATTGTTGAAGAAGCTGACAGATACATGTGGACAAGACGCTGTGATTAAGTACCAATTGCCAGATGAGGATCTTGATGCGCTAGTCACCATCTCTTGTCCAGATGACCTCGAGAACATGATTGACGAGTATCAAAAGTTGCTCGAAAGATCACCCGACGGTTTAGCTAAACTTCGGGTTTTTCTGTTCCCATCCTCTGAGGTTGATTCCCTTAGCTCCACTATACAATTTTCCGACCTGCAGGATGGTGGGCAGCGGTACATAGATGCCGTGAATGGAATAAGTGAAAATGGAGGCGGTGGTGGTATAACAAGGTTAAGTAGTTCCGCCAGTGCTGTTTCCACACAAAACTCTGACGTCAGTAGTGTTGATGGGTCGTGCAGCCATGGTCATTCTGACATCATCCCGAGATCACCATCTTCTGATGCAATTTCTTCCCAGCAAGTACCTTCTAGAGTGGCATGCAATGATAATACTAGCAGTCCTGCTGCAGTTTATGTAAACACTGCTTCATCTGCTCCGTTTGGAATTCCCATGGTCATGTCTGGTCCTCCCCCCATTCTACTGCAACCGCAAACAACAGGCTATGATTTGAAGCATCCGGCGGGCGTGACTTTCCCAGTCCCGCCGCCACCACCACCAGCTTATATGGATCATCATCAAAGAGAAGCATCCTCACTGAACCGCTCAGAATATGAGCAGCCTTTTGGTTCTCAAATGGGCTTTCCGACCCAGTTCATGGGTACGGTCAGACCCATGTATGCTCATCATCAGCAGTTTGTTCCTGGAATTCACACCACAATGAGTACTAATAATGTGCCCCCCATGTTTCAACCCCAACAGGTGTTGGGAGGACCACATCATGGCTTGCTTCATCATCACATTCCTCTTCATCATCCACTACAAGTGCCGGTTTCTGAAGGGCAGGTGGTGTCTCTTACGCATCCAATGGCTAGGTATGATGACTGCCACATGTGCCAAAAATCATTGCCTCATGCACATTCAGACACAATGGCACAAGACAAAAGGGGTAGCCCGGTCAGCAGCATACCTGACCCCATTAAACTGCCCAGGGCGGTTACTTCTGGTGCTATATTGGACTGCCCTCAATCTAATCTTCCATCTCAGTACCAGGTTAATAAACAGGAGTCAGTGATTAATAATGTAGTTCCAGATGATCTCCTTACTGGTGGCATGCGTTTGCCCGTCACAACGGAATACCTTAACCACGAATTACCAAATCACTACACCAAGCATTTTCTCTCTACAGAAGATAAAGTAATTGAGTCTCCATCGAATGCTTATTATGGACACCTGAAGCATATTGAGGATAAGATGGAGAATCTTAGGATACAACGGGCTGAAATACTAGCAAACACTGATCTGAACAGTAATAATAAGTCATCCCCAACAATTGATAAATTTAGAAAGAATGGATTTTTGGAAAGTATAAGTAACCTGAAGCCATTTGAAACGTCACCTAGTACTTCTCCAAACCTATCTGCATCTTATGAGTTAGGAGGAGGAGATGATCAGGAAAGTACAAATTCAGTATTCAGCAACCAGGACCCGTGGAGAATGGAGTGTCATGATGCTTCTTATCATTTCCCTCCTCAACCTAACAAAATTCAAGCGAGAAAGGAAGCGGTCGATACCAAGGGAGTTTCCCAGCCTTTTAGCTACTTAGACACGGATTTTGGTTCTGTACACATTATGTCCAGAAAAGGCAAGTGGATTTTGTGCTTCGTTAGTTGTACATACTTTTTTTCGAGGTCTTTGAACTCTTGGGCCTCCTAACCTTGCTAGTTTTTTGTTTTATTCTCTATCTGCTCAGCAGAGCATATAATGATCAAGCCGGAAGAATTTCAGACTGTTGCTGAAGGAGTAGCTGCTTCTGTTTTTCATGCATCTTCTACCTCAAATGATGGTAGGGGGTCTCCTCCATGTACAAGCGAGTGGAGTGGTGAAGTGAACCAGATTGCTCATGGAGAAATACAATATAGAGATGCATTTGAGGTTTTTTAAATATTTTAAATTCACTGTGCATACCTGCTGCTGCATAAATGTGGTTATTCGTATCTGGGTTGTCTAACATATCTGTACTTTATATTGTTCAGGAGATGAAAACAAAGTCTCCCGTCAAGGAAAGTTTAGGTTCTCCAGTTTCGAGTGACATTGGGCGCTTGCAGGTTTAATTGATACACTATATTTTTGCTATATTATTAGTCCCATTGGAACCAATTAAATACCAGGGAAAGAAACTTGGAGTGAAATTGTTGAACTTGGATGATCCAACCAACATAAGACCCTAACACCTGAGGCTGGAAGGTTTAAGGTGTAAATGAGAGAGGAATCATAAAATGAGTATGGTTGTTCTGTATGTAAGTGCATGTACATTCATCAGACTAGTTTATAGTGTTAACAGAGACCTTGGGATAAATCGTTTAATAACAGATTGATATGAAGTCATTAAGAACCAGACATCACATAAGTATTCTAATTAATTAACCAGCTGTGAGGTGATTCTGAACGTTGTACATTGCCATCAGAATCCTGTGCTCGGCCACGACTCAAACACTTCAACTGGTGGACCGAGCCGTACAATTTCACATAAAAAAATCATAGCAGAAAATTTGCAAGGAATGAAAACGTTTGGGAAAATAAAAAGACATCGGCTAAAATTCAATAAATTCATTTAGATATTCGTTGATATTCATTTTTTATTTATATTAAGTGAAGACAAATCAACATATATGCAATATTTATTTTTTCAATAATCATACTTTGTCTTCCTTTGCCTTCCAATTTGAAAATGAGCATAAGGAATCAAGTTACCTTTAGCTCCCCCTAACATTTTCCGGGATCCAGGCATACCCTCAATGATTAATTTATTTAAGATCCTTACCTATTATTTTGTCTCCAATTGTTCATTCGTAGATTATAAAGAACAGTGACCTTGAAGAGATTAGGGAGTTGGGTTCCGGCACTTTTGGCACAGTTTATCATGGAAAGTGGAGGGGAACTGATGTGGCAATAAAACGAATTAATGACAGATGCTTTGCTGGAAAACCTTCTGAACAACAACGCATGGTTCGTTTTTGGAAGTTTATCCCAGTTATGTGTGTTAACCCTTATGTTTTTGCCTTGCACAGTTACCCCTAATGAAGCATCTTTTCTGTCATTTAGAGGGATGACTTCTGGAATGAGGCAATCAAACTTGCAGCCTTGCACCATCCAAACGTTGTTGCTTTCTATGGTGTTGTGCTTGATGGACCTGGCGGTTCTGTGGCAACTGTTACCGAGTTCATGGTTAATGGCTCTTTGAGGAATGCTTTGCACAAGAGTGAAAGGTAACAACTAGTTTATTCAATTATGCATTTGTTTGTTGGTTTGTTAATTTATCATAATAAATTGTAACACTTTTTTTAAAATTTAAAACATGACGGGAAATGATATATTGTCTAATGTGGTCAGGATTCTTGATAAGAGGAAGCGTCTCTTGATATCGATGGATGTAGCTTTTGGAATGGAGTACTTGCATGGGAAGAACATAGTGCACTTTGACTTGAAAAGTGATAATTTATTGGTTAATCTTCGTGACCCACACCGTCCCATATGCAAGGTTAGAATGTTAGATACCCATTGTGGTGGCTTACTCTTCCTATAGTTTGCTTTTGTTGGCTACTTGCCAATTCAGTACATCTAATTCCATCATCATCATCATCACTATCATTACCCCAGTGCCGCAAAGGCTCCCACCTATGGTGGGGTAAGGGGGGTCGGATGTACGCAGTCGTACCAATTACCCCTGTACTAAAGCACAGAGAGACTGTTTCCGGATGACCCATAGTGAAAATCGTGTCCAAAATTGTATGGACTGACTGCTACTTCATAACAAAGAAGTGCATACAGTTAGTACATCTAATTCCATAAGAGTACAAATTCTTAGCAGTGCAATGTGAAATGCCAAATCAGTACATATAAGGATTACATGTTTTTCATTGGTTAGGTTGGTGACTTGGGTCTGTCCAAGGTGAAATGCCAGACATTAATCTCAGGTGGAGTGAGAGGAACACTCCCTTGGATGGCACCAGAACTTCTTAACGGTAGCAGTAGCCTTGTCTCAGAGAAGGTAGTTAATTTAACACATTGTGAAAGTATAAGGCCTTTTGATCTTGTGTTAAAAAGGATTATACAAGAAGATATTATATATATATATGTGTGTGTGTGTGTGTGTGTGTGTGTGTGTGTGTATACATGCACACATGCATACACACACACATGATATATATATAAATCAATAGTTAGGGTTAACTAGGGTATATGCCCAATATAATTAGGTTAGGGTTTCAACACTCAAGATGGAGTATATAACGGTACGGCCCAGTTCGGTCCCCAAATCTATGAACTGTGACGGGGTACCCCTTTTTTACGGACAGGGTCGTTCCTAGGCCCGAAACTAGAAAAACGAACCTGGTCGGGGCCAAACAGGACCAAACCCGCTTCCGGACCGGGTCCATCCGTCCATGCCTAGGTACATAGTTTCAACAAAGGCTAATTGTACAATGTGGGCTAAACCCAATACAATAAGAATTAGGATTTCAACACACATCTTTACCAATATCTTCATTAAGCATTGCTTTAAGATTATTGTGATCCCATTATTAAAGACCTTTTTTACTTTTCTTTTTTGAGCCTGAAAATGTTAATGGCTGCACTTTTAGGTTGACGTGTTTTCATTTGGAATCGTGATGTGGGAACTTCTAACCGGAGAAGAACCCTATGCGGATTTGCACTATGGAGCCATAATTGGTAAGATTTCCATATATGGTAATTCGGTAAAAGCTATGTAGTATTTTAACAACACCTGCGCTGCTGCGCAAGACAGGCTTTCATCAGACTTGTCATTTTCCATCCCAGAACTAATACACTTACTTTTCAAAAGGCTTTATTTTCACAAGCCATAGCTTTTACTTTATAGAATTATAGCCATAAAATGATTACTTTTTAGCTGAAAAATGATCGAGCTCTTTGGGGCTGTCGCGCACTTTTTTTTTGTGTGAAAATCCATGAGATTTGGGTTTGAGTGTGAGCATTATGGTGATGACAGGTGGTATAGTGAACAACACGTTGCGGCCATCAACACCAGACTCTTGTGATGCTGATTGGAAAGCACTCATGGAGAGATGTTGGTCAGCAGAACCATCAGAAAGGCCAACCTTTACTGAGATTGCTAATGAGTTGCGAGCTATAGCAACCAAGCTTCCTAGTAAAGGACAGCAACCAATTCCATTAACACAACCCCAAACACAACCTAGGAGTTAATCTTAGACAGTAGTACTGCAGTGTACATAATCTAGAGTTTTTTTCACTGTTCTTGCCTTCTGCTTTCAGTTTGATCAGAATGTCAAAGCTCATGTAGGAAACATAAATTTATGCTAAAATGGTGTCAGCTCAGGAAAGAGAAAAAAGCAGTTTGAGTTGTACATTTTTTCTTTTATTCACTCTGCATGCCCTTATAATAATGAAGCCATCATAAGTAGTAGGGTGCACCTAGGGGTGGACCTGGTTGGCGGTCCCGGACTGGTTTAAAACCGGTCCCTGACTGGTTCAAAACCGGTCCCGGTGCAAGACCGAGTACCCGACCATGTACCAGGCGATCCCATTGCAAGACGTGGTACCCAACCGGGTACCAGGCAATCCCTGGTACCGAACCGGGACCAATACTTGGGACCGAACCGGGCAGTTTCACTACCGTCTTCGGTCTTGGACTGGTCATTTTTTTATAGCTTGAAACCGGATGAATAAATGTAACTGGTCTAGGTCCAGAGACGGACCACCCGGGTATCTAAAACCGACCCAGACCCGGAATATAGTGGTTCAGGCCCAGTCCTCTTCAAATAATTTTTAGGACCGGGGAGTCTCGGCCCGGAAATATAAATGGACTGACTTGGTCCACCCATAGGTGCACCAGCTCCTGTTAACCCCTGGTTCTGGGGTTTTCCAATTATAGGAAACCTGAGTTTAAAAATCAGGATTGGGAATTGGGACTGATTGATTCCTCGGCATTTCCTCAGCAATATCACGTAACACAGTCATGGGCCAACCGGCCAAAAAACGGCCCTATCCAGTTCCAGGTCATGGGCCAAAGAAATCATTTGCTGCATGTATGAAACTCATCCACTCCTAATCATGTGTTTTGGTATTGGCACAAAGAACATTAGTGCTTGCATATACAAAAAACAAGATGTGTCTTACATTAAGCAGGCCAGCCAAAAAAAAAAATCCGATCTTACACTCCCATCGTTGTATATGCAGGCAGGTAAGACAAGCATAAATAATCTAGCAAAGTTTTTGAGTATGTTCTTCATTAAATTTAGTTTATTCATACCAAATTTCAGTTAAAAAATCAATCGAGAAGGCAGTCTAATAATTTTTTATACATATTTAACTGCGCAATTTTCTTAAATAATTTATTTAACTGCCTTCCCGGTTGAATGTTTAGCTGGAATTTGGTATGAATAAACTAGACTTAATGAAGAACATACTCAAAAAATATTTCATCAAAAAATTCCACCAATAATAGCTCGAAACAACTTCGGTCGGACGATGGTTCCTGTCAGGTTGGCTGGATAGGAATATGACTCTCTCTCTATATATATCTATATATATATATAGAGTGAGTCTTGTTCCTCTCTATATATATAAGCATGTTCTTTCTCTCTATATATAAGCATGTTCTTTCTCTCTATATATATAGAGAGAGATAGCAGTTAATATATATATATAAACAGCACAGTATTTTTCAAAAAATCATTTGGCTGCCTTCCCGATTGAATTTTTAGCTTAAATTTGGTATAAGTAAACTAGACGTGATGAAGAACATGTTTAAAAAATTTCATCAAAAAATTCCACCCGGAAGGACCCCAAACAGGCTCGGCCAGACGGCGGTTCCCGTCAGGCTGGCTGGACATGAAGATTTGTCTATATACGAAGTATATTATAGCATCTGCCAGAAAGTGTTGAAGTAATTTGGGATGTGACTTGGAGGTTAGATCAACCACATAACAGCTATTAAAACACATATCAAACAGCTAATGCGCATCCTAAGCTTAAAGTAGGCTATATGTTGTTGCCAATGTCCACTAAGTTTTGATGTTTTATATAAATAAATTACCTGGAGATCTAAACCATCACCTACACATATACTTGTGCTAACAAAGAACAGTGTACAACTCCAAAGTGGAATCCCCTAGAAATGTAGATGCTGTCACGCCAACTAGCAAAAAATATATTACTAAAGTATATACATTTATACTCCTCCCGACACAAAAACATACAATCTAGTACACCGGAAGTCTAGAACTGATAGGGTGTCGATACTCTGTCTTTTAATTTTTACTTGCCAAACCTTTGGTTGATTCTTGTATCCTCTGATATAAGTAGTACTGATGACTTCTCACATGAAATGTTCGCTGTTTGATTTTTCACCTGCACTATTTTCCAAAAAGATCGAGTTGGTTTGGTATTTATTTAAAAGATCTTGAACTTTAGTTCATACAAGGAAAATAGATATGTATATGTAGTGTGCCATCGTAAACCCACCCCACAGTGTACTACCTCTTGCGTTTGCTCTTCTGAGAAGAAGTTGATGAGGAAGCATTGCTATGCCAATTTCTCTTCCTTTGATTGATGAACCAATTGTTTATCTGTTTCAATTGCAAACCAGTTTCTGCTACTAACCTTGCTTTGTCTTCCTCCTAAAGCAAAAGTGAAGAAGATGGTTAGGAGGCTTATAAAGGATAAGGAATTTTGAGTGTTAGGACCCTGAGGAGGAACGTGTAGTGGAGCATTATTTATGTTGCATACCGTTGGATAAGGCCATTTTGAGTGTGACTGCCACCAAGCCTTTAGGACAGAAGTAGTGTCCCCGGGCAGCTTTCCCGCCCTTCTTTTGCGTAAAATTTCCTCTCTGATGTCCCCTATCTTTTCTTTGTAACCCTGGAAAACAGGAAACTGTTGACTATGGAACAGATAGGGATGTCAGCAATATAATATCAAAGTGAATATCAATGTTACCTGTTTGAGCTCATGCTTCAATTCTTGTCGCACTCGCTCCATCAGTGACCTTTCAGTTTCAGTAGGAACCAGAGGGCCAAAGCCCATGGAGTCTGGCCCATCGAAACCTCCATCAAACAAGTTGGCATCACTGTCGTCATGGTCATCATCATCATCAGACATTGTTGCACCTGTACCTTCACCTGGTGCTACCCCTGTCAAGCTTTCACTGTTAATATAATAATGTGGAACGTACATTGCATCTAGCCAATTGGTTTTTAAACCAATCAGCCCCTTGAGGAAGCATATTAACCGCTAAGAACAGGTGTGCCATTTAAGTGGCCATCTATTTCCATTTTTTCAGCTTATCAACCATTTTTTATTAACCAAAGACTAATTAATTTGATTGGCGTGCTGATATGTGGATAATGAAAAAAGTATGGCCAGAGTAACATATCAGCCTTCTTTTCATATACATACTTTTTAATTAATTGAAAAAATCTATTATTTCATAAATTTGCAATTTCAGAGACTTTATTGATACTATTCACGATTTCATTTCATTCACCCTTATTAAAGGAACAGTAAACTAATAAAACATGAGAATGGGTAAAGAAAGCTGCTCTGATATTTTGGAACAAAGGGAAAGCAGGGGAGGGATAAATAGTAGATAACTGAGGGACCTGTTAAGCTCTGTAGGGATTGTTCAAGTTCCCAGCAGGCCATGACAGCTTCCATAGCATGCACTCGGACATGTTGCTGCAGTTGTTCTTTGAAGGAAGAGAGCAACAAAACATAATGTGTCTACATCATTCAGAACAATTAAAAAAAGAAGAAAAGTTAAAGTTGATGCAATTACAACAAAACTTCCCATAGTAACAGATATTCAAAAGCAGGAGAAAACAAGAAATGTTTCCACATTGCAAATCTGAAACAGTGCCGGAAACGAAGCATGAAAGTAGATGAAAGAATACGCTGTGAAGCACACAAACAACAAGGAAAAGTGGGTTGATCTAAGAGGAATTTCATTCAACGGGGATATTCTAAATTTGTTTTTAATTAAGTTCTCCATCTTTGTTTATGTTAATTATGTGTGCACATGGTATAATGTGTATAGAATCAAGAATAAGGGTTTTTGTCTGATTATAAGAGAACAATACCAAAATGTAAGAATAATTGTAGTTACATTTGTTAACTTTGAGAGGAACATGAGAAAACAAGACAGAAGAGACGAAATAACAAGTGGGAAACGTTACATCAATTAGTAGATTCTTTAAAAAAATCCATGGGTCAGCCTCAGTAATTGGTCTTTGATAAGACACAACAGATAGGCCAGTTAATGGCACCAATAAACAGCATTGCTCATTTAATACTCCACCCTTGTGATGGCAGAAACAAGAACATGATAATAACTCTTGTATGTTCTTAGACTGAAAGACTTTCCCCATCTCCAGACCTTATCCCTTCCTAAAAGTCTTCCCAAACCACGCAAATACGGAAATAGGTTTTGTTTACTCAAAAGAAAATAGCTGTAAGAAGTAAAGATTGGTGAGAGCAGAAATCTTTGAATCAAAAGTTACACCAAGGATAGATTTGACGCACGCTTAATTTTCACAAAATTTTGTCACAATTCAAACATTAGTTAAGAAGCCTAGCAAAATTACCATATTATCCTTATTTCAGGCAAAATTTAAAGATCAGTCAAACAAATTCATTGAATTGAACTCATAAAAGGAAAATCATTATGGAATTTTTTTGGGGGCTAAAACTACAATTAAATTTGGGGCGGAGGAAGTCTGTTTGTTAAAATGAGATGATAGGACTAAGCTAAAATTTAAAGGAATGAATGAAGAAAGAGGATTACCATGAACTGATCAAGGTCTTTCTCATCTAGAGGGGGTTGACCCTGACCGAGAACAGAGTACTTAGCGACGACGTTGTGGGACTGAGCGAGCTGAGAGTCGATTCTGGAGAGCTGGTCGACCGGCGTGGCAATTCTCAGGCATGAGATGTGAGCCGCCAGCAGTTGATCGTACAGAGGATGGCTGAGAACGTCCGCCTTGCACTTGTCCCTCTCCCAGCTGCTCTTCTCGTTGCTATGGCGATTGTCGTTGTTCCCTCCGTCGCCCTCCCTGCCGCCGTGCTGCTGGCTCAGATTTTTCATCGATTCGGAGGCGTGCTCGGAGGGAGAGAGCCAGTGGTTGGAGGTGGAGGAGTCGGAGTTGTTGGAGGTCTGGAGGTGGAGGAAGTTGGGGGAGCCGGTGAAGTGGCGGCGGAGGAGGGAGGCGTTGAGCCAGGTGGACGGAGGCGGAGACTTGGGAGAAGGAGAGGGTTGCTGATCGGGAAGCATAGAGCGCAAAACGACCGCGTTTTGGTGGTGGTGGTGGTGTTGCTGGAGAGCCATTTCTTGCTCTTCAGAGAGGTGGTCCTGAAACTC